ACCTAAATGCATGATTACTGTCTATAACCAGGCAAAGAAGAAAAGACGTACAAGAGGAGGGAAACAGTGATACAGAGGCAAAGTTTGTACATTTTATTATCAGCTGAGCTGTGAGGAAAAAAAATACCGTCAAATACCGTGAAACCGGTGTATTGTTGAAAAATACCTAGATATAAAATTTGGGTCATACCGCCCAGCCCTACTTTTAGCTAAAACCTAAAAAGAGTAAAACACAAACTGGTATAGTAGCTAAAGGAACCACAGAGCTAACAGTAGCCATTACCTGCAGCCCGTATGTACTCTGAGCCCCTGCCTGGAAGGACCTCCAYGTTGTTCACCAGCGTTCCCACAGGAAGTGCTCCCAGCGGGTAGGCGTCGCCATCGTTGGCCGCCACTGAAAGAGAAGCCGAGAGACGAGCGTGAACTTCCTGTCTTCTGAACTCTTCAGGGACAACCATTCTGACCCGAGGAGCGTTTCCAACCTGCCATGCGTCCGATGACGCCCGACGTTTTGATGATGTCTCCAGCCTGCATCTTGTCCGTCGCGATGAGCCACCGTTTGCGGTTCCCGCCCGCGACCAGAGCGATGTCAGCAGACCTGCGGAGGGAGCGGTCACTGAGCGGAGTTCATCATCTTCACCCGTTGTGTTGAAGGTGAAGCTCRGGTCTCACCTGCACGGGTCGTACCGCACCTCCATCACCCTCTCCTCGAAAGGCTTGCCCTCTTTGCCGGGTTCGTATCGCAGTCGGTTGAAGTCCACCCATCGGTACCTTCGTTTGTGGCCACCGCCAATCCCGTGCGTTTTGATCCTCCCTGCGACAGAGAACAACGATCAGAGGCTTCTACAAACATCGGAACGCTTCAGGAACAATAAAACATGATAGTTACCGTTATTTATTTTTATAAAACGTGATATTAGTCAGCTTTTAAGACTTGTGTGATTCGGGAACCACTGCTGTAGAGCATGTGTCAAACTCAAGACCCAAGAACCAAAAGTGGCCCGTGAGAGCTTCACAGATTTATTAATGTCTTAAAATAAGCTGATTTAAAGTCAGCATTGACCATAAACTACATCTCCCATGATGCATGTTGATTATTTTACCCATGCAGTGACAGCATCCCACCACTAGGTGGAGCTGCACACGGTTCAGAAGCAGCCGTGTGAAATCTACATTTCACAGCATTTATACATATTTTTGCTGTGGACCAGTTGTGCTTGGAAGTGGGAATCTCCCACTTACAAGTCGTAAATTTAAACTGGAACACCCCTGCCGTGGGAATTCCCTGGTGGAAAATGGGTGAGTTCAAAATTCAAGCTGGCAGCTACTCGCCACATCTCAGTGAGTAAAACTCTTATTTTAACCTTTCACAGTATTTCTGTTTGATTTATTTCACACTCAGTCAGCCGTACACGTCTTTTCAGTGTTTATAAGACGATGTGTTAAAACGGTGTTTCTATGCAGGAAATACCAGGTAGAGCTCAGTGTTAGCGGTGCTCAGGAATGTGACGTTTAATCGAAGTTAAACACGAAACATTTAATTATAATCAAAACCCTCACATAGCCTTTGATGAATGACTTTGATAGCCCTGCTCCACATGATCAAACCGAGCCATAAAAACCATCATCCTTTAGTTTTCAGAGCAGTAAAGTAACTAAGTACAAATACTTCTTTACTGTACTTAAGTAGAATTTTTGGCTATCTGTACTTTACTTGAGTAATTATTTTTCAGCCTACTCTTTACATTTTTAAAAAAGGCAAGAAGTAGAAAGTTGTTACTTTTATTTCATTTCTGCTTGTTTTCATTCCAGCTTGTTA